TTGTAACTTTAGAAACTGCTGCACGAAGGATTTCTGTGGATGAGCGGTCAAACTATCCATCAGATCTTTCAGCCCCGTTCTTTTGCCTTGCACTTTACCTTTCAATATGATTTGGAGTAATTCATATCTTTCACGTATCAATACGAGAGTATAATTTCGTTCAGTGTTGTGTTTAATTAACACTAAAATTAATTTTTTTTAAGTTTAGTAGTAGTAGGATTTTAAAATAAACAACCAAAGTGATAACAAATATACTGAATGAAATTATAACACTAGCACCAAAACAACAATGTTTTAGGTCGGGAAGATCATGCATATTCCTTGTTTCATACAATAAAGTTTTTATGATAGTAAAACTTTTTGAAGCATATTTTGTGTAGGTCGGTTCAATACCAAATATTTGGCTATTTTATACATAGTATTTGTAATGTATACGCATTCATCTTAATTAAAAAATAAGAATCATCGCTTTTAATTTAGCAAATATAAATACTTTCTATATCTCTACATATTTGAAACTGTTATTCTGGAATTCCTCAATAAGATTACATGAATATAGATATGCTATAATTGCATTTCAAAGTTCTAACTATTTAAGATAACAAACATACTTCAATTGATACATATTTGACTAGAATAATAGATTACGAAAAAATGTAACATCACATGATTTAAGAGGGTATTTTTTTAAATTTATTAAAATATTGGGTTCTGGTTTAATTTGTTTTGGAAAAATATCATTAGACTAGTCATCATTCTCTTGTCCTTTATCCCTTGGAGTTTTCCCAATTTCATTTTCTCCCATGTTATTTCTCCAAGTTTCTATTTTGGGCCAAACAATGTCTAAGCACTTCACCGACACGACGTGGACAGACTGAGCGTCTCCTACCAAGTCTTCTTTGGTGTTTTCTGTTATTCCTTTAAAGAACTTGTTAAGGAGCAGCAACCTCAGCAATTCTTCATATTGGGTGAATATCATTTCAACGTTGCAGCTGAACTAACCATCACAACATATGCTCTTTCCTTTTGGTATCAATTTGCACTACCCTCAGACTTTTAATGATTTTTATTTCCGCCACATGAATTTGTTGATCTTCTTTCTTTTTAACTGCCATCATTCATCACGCACTAACTGTACTCCATGTATCTTCATTTATTTCGCCGTCATGTAATATCTATGCTATTCATCATTCAAAGTTATCATTTTATTAGAAGTAGTAACTTCATTTTTAAATCAACATTCTAGATACACTTTTTTTATCATACTAAGTTCTACGCCTTTTTCTTCAAGATATATTCTTCAGTGGCAGACTTTGCTCTCGTTTCCTTCCAATATTTCCAACTTATACCACAGCATACGCATATAATAAGCACCAGGAGATGATAACCTGTAGTTTACGTGTTATTTGATCCAATTCTACTAAGATTAAATAAAAAGAATTAAGATTTAATGCAATCATGCTTTCACCTGAAATTTAGTCTCTCTCAGCAGTCGCTACTCCATCATACATATCTTTCATAATCTTCACATCACAATTCACCCTTTTTTAACGAGCATTCGTCAAAGAATCTCTCGAGTAACCTTATCATATGCTTTTTCGAGATCGTTATAACGTTATTTTCATTTATTTCTTTAGTTCTACATTTTTCCACCAGCTGCCTTATAATAAAAATTGCATGTGTTAATCTGCTCTGCATTAGCAGAACCTTTTCAATTTCAAACTATGAACAGTTTGTTTACGATAGTTTGTCCCCAGGAAACGTTACAACCTATGACAGTATGAATAGTCTTGAAATCAAATCTTCAAGATCATTCTTGAAATTTCAATAAAATGGGCTTATCAGCTGCTACAAACAAGCATACTTAGAGCACATAGTATGAGGAGAAATATACACTTTTTAGCAATTAATCTTAAAAGCCTTAGCCTTTCTTTAAAAAAAGAAAACCTTGTCTTCTTCTTCTCTAAACTCCTTTACCCGCTGGGGTGTCAGATTGTTTCTAAAAAGAATAGAAAATTTAATTCTGAGTGCGTAACACCTCATTCAGTAAGACAATAATCAGTGGACGCCTACGCAGAAATGCATGACACCTTAAGAAGAAGATAAAGTGCTTATCAGAAAAATGACCTATCAACTAAAAGAAGATCGTTGATAGAAAATTCATGCAGTATGTTACAGGTGAAACACTACAGTTTTATTATCATATCACTTCATAAAACAAAATAAAACTGATTAAGGTCTTGGTGGCTAATTAAATTATCATTAAGGGCAAATGCGACCCTTTCGGAGTTGGTTGATGATGTTTTTTTTCTATAACTTGGTCAGGTGAGTGTGGTTCCTACTTATCCTAGGCTGATGGCAGTAGTTCAGCGACCAAGATACTAACCTTCTAAGTCAGAGTGCCCGAATTCGATTCTCAGCATCAACAATGGCATTTTCATTTTTAAAAACGATAACGAGCCGTCACCGTGCTTCGGAAGGTACTTAAATCCGTCGCTCCCCCTGGGTTAGTGTGCACTAGCACTAGTTACCTGAAACAGGGTCAAAGATGCAATTGGTACCGAAACAATCTGATCTCCCAGGCAAAAAAGCGATACGATATTATTATATAGTTGTCCTGAGCATTCTTTGAGTTTGATAACAACGTGATCCCAAGTGTTCTGTCACGTTCTGTAGGCGTGGCATTTGATGTTTACTTTGTGATCAGTCCAAGGTATTTGATATATGACAGTAATATTTTGGTCGGATATTGCATTGCTTGTCCAGGAGTCCACTTCCTCACTGTCACTTATTTTTATATAGGAACATACCCAGATGAACGAAATATCTTTATGTCTACCGTGTAGATAAGATAATTCTCATTTTAGAAGTATAGTGCGAGTTGTTATATAGCTATTTTATTCCAGTAATTGTGCTAATTAAATTGGTGACAATAACAAGTTTGTTTGCACGGATAAAACCACATTTTTGCATACCACAATTGCCGTAAGTTCTCCGGTAAATATGCAACAATTTGCTGGAATTCGTACGGTGGACTTGATGTTTTCGCAGATAAAGGCTGCAGCATGCCCTTCATCTTATTTGCAAGCATGGGTGCCATAAACATTTATGTTTGTACATGTTTCATAAAATCTTTTACATTTGTCAAAGACACGCTGTTAAATTACTTTATTATGATTGTTAAAAACCCACAAGGAAACTAAACTCCTGTAGTTGGCTGTATATCATGTATCACAAATTTTTTTATTTAAAAATTCCTTTATAAAAGGTATAATTTTATTGTTATACAATGCTATATTATGTATTAAGTTAAAGGAATTTTTAAATAAAATTTTTTGTTAAAACGGTTTTTTATTTTTCAAAATTGATTTTGGTACTTGTACTATACTTGGATTCACTGATTCAATTTAGTATGATGATAGATGCTCAACTATTTGGAGGTCATTTTTCGGACCTTATCATTGTTGTTATATAAAAGATATCTGATTTGAATTGTGTCACCCGTACAAGTAATAAACAACTTATGCAAAATACCCTGAAAAAAATATCCTAGGCGTGGTGCTTTATTTCGTGAATGTAATTACTCTCATTTCATTGAATAGCATCGAGTAAAAATTTTTTATGCGTATCTCATCGAAGTTAATACTAAGACACAATTTGTCATATAGTAAATAAATTTTTATCTGTAGTGCCCTATGCTATTTCGAATATCGCTATACGTTCATTATTAATGAAGATACTGTGTAGTACCCTTTTGGTAGTTGCCCCGTTTGTTTTTTCTTACTTAATATATTCGTTGTTCCCTCCCGTTCCATTTGCTATGTCGCATGTTAGGATTCGTTTAGTTGTTTATTTTGTACTTAGTCAGAGGCATTATTCAAGCCAATGAATCAAAATTTGTATTAGTTAAACTATTTTTATCCATAGTGCCCTATGCCATCTCGTATGTAACTATACATTCATTAATAATGAGGACACTGTGTGGGACCCTTTTGTTAGTCGTCTTGTTTGTTTTTTTTTATCTTATCTTATCTTTAACGTATCACACGCTACAATCGGACCAATAACAAAGGAGATATGATTATTGCCCTCTTAGCAATGCCGCAATGTGTATTTTTTCTGTCTCAACATATTCGCTACTCCCTCTCCTTTCCAATGGTGTATCATACGTCACGATCCGAAGTACTATTGTACCCTCACCACAAAACGCTCAAAAAATGAGCAGAAGGAACCTTAGCATTTTCTTATGGGATTTTACAAGGGAAATGAGAAACGTAGAACGTTTTTACGTACTAATTACTGATTTTAACTTTATTTAATTGTATTTAATTCAGTAATCGTTAACTTATTAATTTATTCTATATACCTTTATTTAATTTCATTTAGTTTTAAATTTATTTTATTTTGTTAAAGGTAAAGCATTGACGTTTGTTAAACGTCATTTTATTTATATAGTAAGTGTATGTTTATTTTACCCAATGACATATATAATAAATATATATTATACATTGTTTTGTGTAAAACTTACTGACATCGCGGGTTAAATGATTAGAATAATAACGAAAAAAATGCAATGTTTTGATTGTGATTAAATTAGCAGTTAATTTGAATATTATGAAAATACCAGTCTTAACTTAACTTAACTCAAATGTCTACGTCATTTTACGCTTAGCAACATAGGATATGATACATCATACCGTTTTTACAGAGTGTTTTGATGACAGTAATATTATATATTTATGTTTTGCTAATTTTACACTAATAAGTAATTATTTTCCATATGATACAGATTTCGATTTTGTGTCTCCAACAATCGTACGAAATCAGTCCACACGAGACACAGAGCCAATAAATTATCTAATTTCAAATGCTTCGAAATGCCATAAGATAAATAAATAAAAAATAAGACATATATAAACTAGAAACTATGTAGCTGTTTTATTTGTTTGCATTTTTTGTAGTTTCATTTTGTACTCATTATAAATAATATTTTTTTCCAGAGCTGCACAACTACCAGAAATATATGGAGTCACTCCCACCCCTTATCACGACTGGGACTACATACTGTTCTCACAAAGATGGGCAATTACTTCGTGCACCGAATGGGAAGAAGCTAAATCAGGCAACACTTGCACATTCCCACCAGATCGAACCCAATGGATAGTTCACGGAATGTGGCCCACTAAAAACGGAACAGAGGGCCCCTTGTACTGTCCTTCTGCTATCCACTTCGATCCGGATCTACTGGATCCCATGTTGGATGCTCTTAAAGCCCAATGGACAAATGTGGAGGCAAATACCAAACTTTATTCCTTCTGGAAACACGAGTGGGATAAACATGGAACTTGTTCGGTAGATTTGCCAGCACTCAACAGTATTCCAAATTTCTTTAAAAAAGGTAAGGTGAGATGCAATTACAATACTACATGATATTCGGTAAATCATTTGTTCTTTTTTTCTGTGCAAAAATAGCACATGGATTCTCTGCCTTCGGATTTGAAAGGATAATTTACCTTTAAATCAACTATTCTTCTGTAAAATGGATATTAGGAAATTTTGTAGGAACATTGTGCCTAGATAAGAAGAGTAAGAAATTATCTTATGTCAAAGGCAGTGTGAAACTATTTTGAAATCTAAAAGCAGTCGACCGGCTTGAATTAAAGCGTTTTCAGCAGGTGAAAAACACTAGTGGGCGAAAATAGAGACTCATTAACCTGTTCGCTAACGGCAACGATCCGGCTTTTTAGACTCAGCATCTTGTTATACTTTGGGGACTTTTAACTTACACTTCGAATATAAGAAATCCACAACTAAAATCAGCAGATGGACGTGCATAAATTGAAAGATTGGTTTTCAAAGCTAAATCCAAACACCTGGTGAAAAAGTGAACTGGCTCTCACAAACTCTCAAGAAAATATAAATATGTTCCCGAATTTAAGAATGGCGCTATCAAATAAAAACGTGTAGCAAGATGAGGAATAATAGGTACCAGGAGGAGATAGACAATCTGTTAATAGCCAATACCTTCTTCAAACAACATCCTAGAAGGCTATATACATGGAAATCACCTGCAGACAGAAAAGAAAGAATTATTAGAAATCAAACTGACTTCAATTGACTTTTGCTCAATAACACCTTTAAGAAGTACATACAATTTACGAAAACATACCCTGGAGCTGATATATATAGCGATTACAATCCAGTTATAATGGATTTTAGATTAAAAAGATTTCTCAAAGTAAAAAAGAAAACAGTGACAAGAAAAATATACATCTCACAACTGAAGAACCCCGAACAGAAAAAAAGAAATATGTATCAAGCTTGAGGAAGAAATAAAAACAATCGAAAACTTGGTACAGACAGACATTAAAGTAACATGGATTGTTCTAAAAACAGCTTCGTTCGTTCTAAAAAAAAGTCGAACAACTTCAAGGAAAAATACGACACCTTTAATATTCATAAAAAAGTAAAAGAAATGACAGGTAGACACAAAAAGAGACAAGCAACAATATTAAAAAATGATAATACCGAAATAATTATGGGTACAGAAGACAAAGTAGAGAGATGGAAAGAATACATACCATACACAGATAATCGAATAAATGAAAAAGGCCCAGAAATAACCAAAGAAGAAGTGATTCACGCAGTAAAATCTCAGAAAGATGGAAAAGCCACCGGTCCAGACAATATCAGTGTCCAAATACTAAAACCAATTGCAGATAACTGAAGTAAAAGTATAGACTTAATAAGAGTACTATTTAATAAGATATATGACACAGGTAAAATACCAACAGACTGGCTAAAATCAACATTCGTAGCATTACCAAAAAAATCGAATTCCTCACAATGCGATGATTATCGAATATTAAGCTTAATGTCTCATGTCCTTAAAACTTTTCTGAGAATTATCCATACACGAATTTACAAGACGTGCGAGTTCCAGGTGAGTGACACTCAATTCGGATTTCGAAACGGATTGGGAACACCAGAGGCTCTTTTTGCTTTAAATGTGTTAACGCAACGATGCAGAGATATGAACGTAGATGTATTTGCATGTTCTATTGACTATCGAAAAGCATTTGACTGCGTTAACCATCAAAAGATGATCGAAATTCTGAGAACAACTGGAGTTGGCGAACAAGACTTGCGAATTATCTCAGAACCATACTGACACCAAACGGCAACAATCCAAATAGAGCACACAACATCCGAAGATATACAAATCCGACGAGGAGTGAGACAGGGTTGCGTCTTATGTCTTATCTATATTCAGAGAAGCATTAGACGAGGTCCAAGGTGGAATTAAGATTAACGGAATCAGCATACACATCAGATATGCTGATGAAACCGTCTTAATAGCAAGCAACGCACAAGAACTACAAAATATAATAAATGCGGTAGTTCAAAACCGCGAAATGTTCGGTTTACTTCTAAATATTTGGGAGTAAATATAAATAGTCAGTATAATCCAAAAAAAGAAATCCTATCAAGAATTGAACAAGCAAGGAAAACATTCATATACATGAAAACATGTTGTTACAAGATCAGACCTTAGTCTGTAGCTTAGAATCCGAATGATCAGATGTTGCGTTTTTTCAGGCCTATTGTATAGCTGTGAAATTTGGACAATCGACTCTAAAATAGAAAAAAGTAATAGATGCTTTTGAGATGTATATATACAGACGAATGTTGAGAATTCCATGGATACAAATAGTTACTAATGTTAAGGTACTTCGTCGTATGTGTAAACAAAAAGAATTACTAAGAATAATCAAAGATAGAAAAATGCAATACTTGGGTCATGTGTTGAGAGGCGAAAGATATGAATTACTTCAAGTTATACTGGAAGGAAAAGTACAGGGCAAAAGATCAGTAGGAAGACGCCAGAACTAGTGGCTGAAAGACCTGAGGAGATGGTTCGACCGCTCATCCGCAGAAATCTTTCGCGCAGCAGTTTCCAAAACTGCAATTGCCATTTGGATCGCCAACCTTCCAAAGGAGATGGCGCCATGAGAAGAAGAAGCAAGATGAGATAAAATGCCTCTTCGCTACTGAGATTGAAAATGTCACACATAGATTGTGGAAAGATTGCACTATAGACACATTATAAAACAAGAAGAGGGAATGTGGGATCTAGACACTAGAGCTGATTTTTAGGTTGAACGATTATTAACGTGAATACTAACGTAATGATCGCAATAGTTGTTCATCGTTCTTCAGACGATAATTTATATTCTGACTTTCTCTGGATGTTTTTCTACTTTATCAAAATGCTTTAATAGCAATATAGTCAAGTTTATTTTGTTTATGCAGAGTTAATTTTAACTTTAGAACGCCCTAATTACCTCGGAAGCGACTTGCACAATTTATATAAATTTTAGTTTATGATATTTATTCACATCGTTGCCACATTTGTTGTTTTTATAGGAGTATAAAAACTTTGCAATTTCAAATGAATCATCCTGTATTTTTTTTCTTTTTGAAATCCTTAATAAATACTGAATTCAAATTTCCTAGACCTAAATTCCATAATTTTGAAGTTGTAATATCCGCCCAAGTTAAAATAATACATATTATTTTAAATTTGACGTGATATGTGTAGAAGTCAACAAGAAAGGTGTAATATATTTAACACTTTCGCTGCGCATGACTCCGATCGGAGTCAAAGTGGTCCTTTGCTAGGTGCGCATAACTCCGATCGGGGACAACAACCCGTTGATTTTTAAGACGGTATATTTTACTAAGTATGACGCCGACATTACTTAATGTTGTATCAGGGTGTGAGTGAGAACTTAAACGGTCAAAAATTTTTACCAGTTCTTTGCTGTGGTAGTTTCGTGATTCAAAATGGCGGAAAATATGCCGGGATCTTCAAACTGTGAAAAACAAGAAATATTCCTGGTTAATAAGGGACGAACAAAGAGAAAGCTTTGCAAAATATGCTCCGAAAACAAAATTAAGCAGACGATATATCAATGCAAAAAATGTCCTGATCAACCCGGATTTTGTGTTGAATGCTTTGTATTGCTGATATGTGAATCAAAATCAAATCAATGTGTGAATCTTTCACACATCTTTCAGTCAGCGATACACTAGAAATTCTTAGCCAGGTGCGCATTACTCCCATAGGAGTCTAAAATTCAGATCACATTTTATAAATAAATATACACTTTTATACACTAAATAAATAAATACCTATACACTACCATATTTTTTTTTGATAAACTCCATCTTCAAGTTGTAATGGTAACCACCCAGAGAAAAAGCACACTAAAACGTTTTTAAAATACTAACATGATACATTGAATTTTTTTTTTTAAACTTTTGAACTAAAATGCACAAGAAAGTAACAAATTTAATTTTTTACACCATTTAAAATATTTCAATAATATATTTTTCAGGCTGTTCATCAGTGCTATTTTATATCACTGATAATATTTTATATGCGATTAAACCATAATTGATTGTAATGAGAATAACATTTTCGGAAATCGATTTTAAATAAGTTTTTATCGTTTGTAAAATTTGGATATCATCGTCAAAGTGGTAGCCTGCTTTCTAAATCTTTTAACAACAATGGGAGGTTTTGTTGCTGTCACTTTTTTTTGTGACCCGTTGTTTTAACTACGATTGATTAACACACAAGTCATTGTAAATTATAAAAGCAGCGCTGTTACGTACATGAGTCAAGTATTTCGATTTCTTAGAACAAGCTATTACATTCTAGACCACTGGATTTCCTCATTTTCATAGTGGTGTGTGGTTTAAATTGAAAAAGAAATATATACATAATTGGTTTGTGAGATTTATAATAAAGGCTGGTTTTTTTTTACTGGTATTTTACTTGTCCGTCATAATAAGTATTGTAAAAAATGAATTTCTTTAGTGCAGGATATCAGTTTTCAGAATTGTATTTCTAAGTATAAATTGTTCGTCACTAATACAGTAAAAATCTTGCATAGATCCATCTAGCGGAAATTACTCGACTTCACCAATACGATTCCCAAAAATATTGGCATTTCTTATGATAAGCAACATTGACAGATTGAAAATGCATCGCGTGGTTTAGCAGCAACAAAATTGTAAAACAATTTCGTAAGAACATGGAAATCTCTCGTGAAAAAAACCGGCTGTAAACAACCTTGCTAAAGCCATGGATAGAAAAAATACGGAAAGCAGTTCCTAAATTAGGAACCCTTAGGCTAGTGCGTTCCTCAGTTGCGGCCTCGCCTGACTCCTGCGTAATGTGAGCTAAGCTTACCGCGTATAGCACGAAAGGGACCAAAGAAGCCAACTTTCAACTTCGGAAGTATAATAGTTGAAAGAAGAGATAGCTCGCCAATTTCATTCAGATGAGAAGGATTAGTGTACTTTTTGGAAGGAATATGTAAAGGAATATCTAGTAAAGGTAACCAGAAGAAGTGATAGAATAATGAGTGTCCAACTGAATACAGGCGATACCAACGTGAACATCATATGTGCCTACGTTCCACAGGTAGGGTATACAGTACAGAAAAAGGAAGAATTTTGGAGTGCCCTTGATTGGAAGGTGCTCGAGATTCCTGAATTCCTGCTCGGGAAGAGTTCATGGAGGTTGGAACAATGGAAAGAGCAATGTTAGGTATACGACTGTTAGATAAAAAGAGGAACGACAGGGTAAGATCAAAAACAAAAGTCGAGGACATAACAACAAAAATTGCCAAACTTAAATGGAGCTTCGCGGGCCACACTGCTAGACAAAAGAGACCGATGGAAGGAGTTAGGAGAGGCCTATGTCCAAACATGGACGATAGAAGGCTAAGAAGAAGAAGAGAAATCTGTGATTAATCTTTATGAAGTACCTGCAGTACCGGGGAAAGGGAAAGTCAGACAGATATTATGTTATGTAGAAGAAGACAGCTAAAATAGGTAACTGTAATGTGAAAAAGTGTTAGTGTGTAGCTATTCAACATCGACCGGTGACACTGGATACGAGGATAAAGATGAGGCGGAAAGGAAAGCAAGTAGGACGTCAGAAAGTAAAGTGGTGGATGATAAAGGATACGGATTTGGCAACGTCTTCAATAATAAAGTGCTGGAACAGTTTGAGGAATCAGATAAGGTAAAAGATGTGGTACGGGTGGGATAAGAAGTGTTAGAAAAAATATCTGGTAAAGGGCCGTCTAGAGCCAAATAAACTTGGTGTTGAAACGATGAAATTCAACAAAAGGGAGAAGAAAGAGAGAAGATACAGATCTAAAACAAAGGAAGATACATATAAGGTAACAAAGAGGGAAGCCAAATGCACTGTAGCTAGTCCTAAGGAAAGATCGTCTGCAATAGCATAGCTGTCAGACAAGATGGAAGCACCCAAGAGGATGAAAAGATTAAACAGCATTGCCAAAGAAAGGGACAAATCATCAAAGGAATTGACTCACGTACGAACAGATAAGTGCGGATGGAAGAGTGTTAAGATCCAAATGGGAATGTATAGATGGTAATGTCACACACAATGAAAATTTGAGAGAGAACTGTAGAGTGAATGTTAAGGAAAGAGACATGAAATTTTGGAGAAGTTGGAGGGTAAGAGAAGGGGTATTGAAGAGGAAGGACTTAAGATTAACAGGTAGAAAACGAAGAATAGGTGGATTGGAGGAACAGGAATGGTTGAGAACATCAAATTACTTGAGGAAACACTAGGATGACTAGGAGAATTTAAATACCTTTATTTACAGGCTGGGTTAATTTAACGGAAAAGCAATGAGCGGAGTACTCTGGGTTCGAAAAATTGGGAAAGAGCTCAAAAGAAAAATATACAAGTATGTGGAGATGCCTGCGTTGGTGTACGACGGTGAAGTGTGGACTGTAAAGAGAGTTCAGGAAAGGAAGATGCAGGTAACTGAAATGCAAATGTTACGGTGCATGCTTCAGGTACAAGATCAGGAATAACTTGAATAAAGAACGAGCCGGAGTGTCTACAGTCTCAAAAAAAGAGACTAAGAAAGCTGCAATGGTTTCGTCACGTCAGACTTAGAAATGAGAACTAAGTGGAACGAACCATAGAGCTGTAAAAAGTTGGGGGAAAGTGAGGTAGAGAAAATCCGAGAAGTTCGAAAGACTACTTGTAGAGGACTTAAGTGAGAAAGGTTTAAATGAAGAAGACGCGGTAGACAGAAATGAGTGGCAAGGAAGAGTAAAGAACAGCGACCCCTCAAAGGGGAAAATTGAGGAAGACGTAGAAGTAGAACAAAAGTAATAACTAAATTTTCTTCAAGGGTTGAGACTGCGTTCAATGAATAGCATATATATACTACTCTCCAAAATTAACGCACCACCTAAAATGGACTATGATTTCAAAAATGGATTTCTTCTGAACCCTTAATTAAATTTCCATGATTTATTTTTCACGTTATAGGTATATTTCTAATTAATGACTGTATTAATGGTTTTTGAGAAATGTCAACGTTTTACTTATATACAGGGTGTAAAACTAAAGTTGTGTTTTTTCATCTAATTTTGCAACACCCTGTGGAATGTATTAGAAACAAACGCTACATATTATTAATATTTTAAAATTGCTTTATTCTTTCTTCGCATTTTCGTAAAAAAATCATCACGATACCTTTATTATCAAAAAAGAAAAGTATGTTCTAAGCATTACGTGATTTTTTACTCTCCAAAATTAACGCCCCACCTCAACTCTGCCATAATTTTTAAGCTATTTTTCTTGCGTATCCTTGATTGGATTTCTATAAATTGTTTTGCTCATTGCAGACCTATTTCTAAGTAATAACTGCATTAATGTTTTCTGGGAAGTGTCAATGTTTCACCTATATACGGGGTGTAAAAATAAATTTGATTTTTTATGTTATTTTGCAAGACCCTGTTGAATTTACTTAAAGTAAATGCTACATCTTAATCTTAATACTTTGAAAAAGTTTCATTTTTTCTTCAACATTTTCGTAAAAAAATCATCGATATCTTTATTATCAAAAAAGAAAAGTACGTTTTCAAAGCATAACGTGATTTTATTGAATTGTAATACTCATTAGTGGAAGCAGTTACTTGGCTATGAAAAATCAAACAATTTGACAGTATAGTTTTAGGGAGAGCGCCCACCAAAGTGGCATGGCACGTGGCAAGTAGCACGCGTCTAGCATGTTACATAAAATGTAACAAATGCAAACGAATGATTAGATCGAATGAAGTTACTGTTATTTTGGTGTGCGCTGAATCATTCGTTTTCATTGGTTACATTTTAAGTAACATGCTAGACGCGTGCTACTTGCCACGTGTCACGCCACTTTGGTGGGCGCTCTCACTAAGACTGTCAATATTGTTTACATTTCAAAAAATTGTTTTGCTATTTTACGTATGCTAGTTAGTTGACATGGGCCCTATTTCAAGAAATCTGAGCCGAGATGAATGTGTTCAGGCAATTACTTTAGCTGATGTAGGGTTAAGTTATTGTGAAATAGGCTTGAGGTTAGGTGTATCTCATACTACAATATCACGAGTCATTCTACGTTTTTGAGAACAAATGACCATACGAAACGGCGTGGACAAGGAAGAGAAAGACTTATAACACCACGACAAGATCAGTTTTTCAGGCTTCGTGCTATAAGAGAACGTTTTCTCACAATGAGACATTTAAAATTCAAGTGACAAATGTTTATAATATTCAAATTAGTAGAAATACTATACAAAGGAGTCTCGCTGAAGAAGATCTGCATATAAGGATACCAGTCAGAGCATCAGCTTTAAACGTAAATCATTGTAGAAGTAGATTACAATTTGCCAGAGAGCACCTTGACTGGAATGTTGATGACTGGGAGTACGTGTTATTGACTGATGAATCGAGGTGTTGCTTCCATATCTCAGATAGACGTGTGAGAGTTATTCGACGGAAAAGAGAACGCTACACACACTGAAATATACGACCTATTACTTTATTTAATGGAGGACCTGTATTGGTTGGAGAGGAATATCTCTTACAACGCATACGGAACTTGTTGATTTACGAAGAGGTTTCTTAAAAAGTGAAAGGTATATTAGACATTTTATCTAACCATATAGTTTCATTTGCTCCTTACATAGGAAATATTTTTTTTAACGCATGATTACGCTCGACCACATGTTGCACGTGTGGTTCGCGACTATTTGGACGAGATTGGAATACAAACCATAAACTGACCACCCTGCAGCCCTGATCTCAATCCCATAGAGAATTTGTGAGATATTATTGATCGTCGGCTCAGAAGCCGACAACCACCACCTGTCTCTCTTGATGACATAGAAGTTTGAGATGCAATTGATCAAGACCAAATACTCTGCTTGATTTTAAGTATGCCTCTCCGCTGTGAAGAAGTAATTATATGTAGAGGTGGAAATACTCGTTATTGAGTGTTTTTGGGAAGGGAGAAGTCTTAAAGATTATTTAGGTTATATATTCTCAGGCTTTATTTGTATTAAATGTCAATAAAGTTTATATAAGTAATGTTTTCATTGCTATAAATGTTGGTAAAAACTTGTTACATTTAAAGTTCTGTATCATCATCTTTGATAATAGTGATATCGTCATAATTTTTTTATGAAAATCTTAAAAAAGAATAAATCTATCTCAAAATATTAATAAGATGTAGCGTTTATTTCTAATAAATTCCACAGGGTGTTGCAAAAAAAACGATGAAAAAGCACAACTTTATTTTTACACCCCGTATACGGGTAAAACGTTGATATTTTTTAGAATACGTTAATACATTGATTTACTAAGAAATAGACCTATAACATGAAAAAACATCATTAAAATCCATCATTCGTTCAGAAGAAAAATAGCTTCAAACATTATGGTAAATTTAAGGTGGTGCGTTAATTTTGGGCAGTAGTGTATATTTTTTAATTCTTGTGTGAGAGTAACTTATCATTCAAGCAAAGTTTTATTTCAAAGGTTATCGTAATTACGATTTTTTTTTTCGGAGATTCTATTACGTATTTGAATATTGTTGTAATGGGAAATTGAAGATGATTTTAAATTTAAAGCAAAATACAGGATATTTCATGTAAACAATTTTATTTATCCGGTACAACGTTTGGAAACTCCAAATCCAAAACTATACTTCTAAGTGACCGGTTTTTTCCATATACTAATTATTTATTTTTTTTAGGTCTAGAATTAAATAAACAATTCAATATCGCCGATATGCTACTACAAAGTCAAATAACCCCAGGCACCACCGGTTACACTGTAGACGAGATAGTAAATGCCATAAAAGCAGTGACAAAACACCAACCGACTGTCCAGTGTGTAGTGGAAAGCCATACTAAGCTATCCATGATTAGTGAGATTAGGATATGTTTGGATAAATCCTTCGAAGTAATCGATTGTGTGTCAGCTATAACGAATTGTAGTAAAAAGAAACCCATAATGTACTTAGATAGTGTGCCGAATGATGCACAGAGTCAGATTGATTATATAGATGAATATTCTGAAGAGAGATTTAGAGAGAGTGCGTATTATATGGAGTTTTATAAGTTAGTTAAATTTCTTATATGGTTTTCTATGTAATATTGTATGATTTATCGTAAGTGATCAAAGTATTAGATATGTCTGGTAAAATTCAAGGTTTTGATTAAAACTAGTTTATAATAAGGAACAAAATTATATTTACATGACTTGGGTTTTCATATCAACATGTGTAATATTATAAAATATGTCCAATTCTCGGTATTGTCATTCATATCTTCCTGCTACCTTACTACTATGCTTTCTATACATTTCCAGCAGTCTTGCGTTAGGACAACAGACGGCATCATGCATGAACGTGTAAGTTTTATTGAGAATCTTATCATATTATCATGGACCCGAGGAATCATTCTTGTCTGCAGTTTTCAAATACAGGTTATTCTAGCTCTGTATAAGTTTTTTGACAACTAATGATGGAGAGTGTTCGGTGTTGAATGTTAATTTTTATGTTCGGTGTTGAATGTTTTATTTGTGCTGTTTTCACTCGTAAGATGTCTGGTTTTTACCGTAATGTAATAAAGTTGTTGTTTTGATTAAATTGGTGTAAGAAAGATATAGTGCTGGGTATGACTACTTAAAATACACCAAAAAGGTAGTAAATAATGAGAACTTCAGTCAATATCACTAATAAAAATTCATAACGTCTACAAATATAGACTCCAACAAACTTAAGTTTGGGAATGTGACGTCGTGTTTCGCGCAGAAAGGCGGACCTTTTCTACCAGTGGCGGAAGGAAACCGGTAGCTTTAAAATAAATTTTTATAAGTATATTCAATTAAAGTTAGAATGAATTTGTCAATTTTTATTTTTATAGTTTTTAATATTTATGAAGTTTATAGACAGACATTCGATAAAATAATGAGTAAACTATTAGGAGTAGGTACTTTAATAAATAACAAATTCCTCAATACTTACAATTTATTACCGTGGCAAGGAAGGAAGGGTTTCAACAACTCAAAAAAATAAGTAATTTATTTTAACAAATTAAATAATGTATTTATTTTATAAAAAAATATGGATTTTAAAGACTTATATATTTTGTTATATGACATAGGAATATCACACAAAAACACGTCTATTCCGAAATTTTAATTACTATCTTCATCATCAGAAAAGCTTTCTTCGGATGAACCAGTATTAATACAAAATTTTAAGTGGTCCAGCGTAGAGTCCAATAAATGTTCTCTTGCGATTTGAGTGTTTTCATATTTTTTTACGTGTTTACATATGTTAGCCCACTCTTCTATCAACACTTCTGAAAATTTTCTAAGCCTAATCCAATCATGGTTTTCCTCAATGATTCCTTTGACCCTGGAAATTCCATTTCTTTGTTCTTGAGTTTTTGATAAATATCTAAATAAATAGAAATAGTTCAAATATTTGGAAAGTAAATCTTGTTTACTAAGTTAGTAAAATTGTAAAGGAATTGTATCTACCGTTTTTGTTAAAAATGTATCTATATCAGTGTTTTTACTAGAAAACTTTAATTTCGTTCTAAACGGATACAAACAAACAATTGTTTTATAATTTTACTTATTCTATTTTATTTAGGATAATAAAAATTTTTATTGTAAATTATTTTTTAACTATTTACCATTAATTGTCGGTGATCTTTTCTCGATGGTGTAAAAGTCATATATAACATTTTTGATAATTTCTTCTTCTCCTTGGTCCAATTGAGTTTTTTTAACACGAGAACGTTTTTTTTTTGGACTTGTAAAAGATGAACTAGTCGCTCCATTTTTATTAACTTCTCTACCTTCTTTTCTTATTTTAGATAAGGTGTTTTTACTTATACCTGTAGCTGCTAGAATCCTATCCCTATAATTACCAATGTTAAATATTACTAGATGAAAATATTGAGAAACAAAATGCATATATTAATCATATTTACTAACACAATCTATATTGAGATCGGTTATTTTCTGTTTCAAGTAAATAGTAGAAAGTATCTGATGAAACATCGTAAATAGGTAATCACAAGGTGTTGGTTGTGGTGTATTTATACAAAATACAAACCAATCAGTTTGAGCTTGTTGCAAATATAAAAGATATTACCTTTTAGTAGAGTAATATTAACAGATTATAAATTTGCATTAGACTCTATAAAAAATATAGAATTTGAAGTAATGAAGTGTCATATGTTATGTTTTTTAATAAACATGATTGTAAACTTAAATAAAACATTTATTTGGGTTAGAGGCCATGTAGGTATACCAGGGAATGAAAAAGCTGATACTCTAGCTCAGGAAGCAGTGCAAAATGTAGTCTTTTGCAATATTTATACAGTAAGGGATATATTTAACTCAATAAAAAATAAAATTAGACTGAAATGGTAACAGCAATGGGAGAATATTATTGAAAACTCGCAAAATACATATTTACAGATACACTCCACTTTACGTTTAAAGATGTGAAAGTAGAAATATAAATTAGTATAACTTTAATGATTTATAAATATAACAAAAAATCTAGATCTAAAAAGATCTAAAAAAAGTAACAAACAAGAACAAACAAAATATTTTTAAACATAAATAAAACATTATGTGGCTAATGGACTTGTTTCCGTGTCATATTTTTCACACACACACATAAGAAAATAAAATATCATTGACAATACTTACGTCAATTTCCTTAAAGGTATTAACAAGTTTTCGGTTGCTTCGAAATGTGCTGCCTCTTGTTCCATAAATGTAGTAACATTATAAATTATTGCCTTTGCTTGGCTATTTAATCCCAGCCCTTTCGTTCCTATCTTTTTAGAAGCCATATTATAAATTATAACTATTATTAATTAAACTTGATTAATTAAACTATAAATAAACTAAACTAAACGACTTAATAATTCACTAATTACTACTACCTATATTATACTAATAAGCACTAATCTAAAATAAAATAATAAAATATCCCACACGATCAAATTAACAAGTCAAACACTCTCTGCGATACGCAACTACGACACTGGCAAACTGAAAACTGGCCGTTTCTATGGCAACGCTAGTAAACAAGAACCACTGCGCACCGTCGAGTTATGAGTCATATTCCCAAACTAAACTTTGTCGGAGTCTACTAAATATTAAGAATAAATATGAACATTTCGCGCATCTGTTACATATTGACGCGTCAACAGTGTTGCCATTTTTTAAGGCTACAAAAATGTTTCATAGTGTTGAAACATTTTACAAAAATTTACATAGTTGTTTCATAGTGTTGAAACATTTACAAAAATGTTTCAACACTTTTTTTAAATTTTACTAGCTGGATTTAATAATTTGATCACTTACTAAGAAGTAGATACAGATTATTGGGTAATTTTTTATTACATACTGGATAATTAAGAATGCCCTAATAAGAATGCTATCAAATCACTCATATATTAATAATTATCCCTATCCTTAATCTTTCATACTTCTAAAAGATGGGACACTCTCTTATGATACCGTAGGCAGGTTCTGACATAGATTCTGTATTCTCTTGGTGTACATCTTCATATTTAAGGCCAAGTTCGTCCAAAAACCGTATTTTTTAAAATAAATTTTATTTATAGTACTTATAACAAAAATTTAAAATCAAACTTTGTACAGGTGAAAGTATTATACAGTAAACTACTTGAAAAAAATTATTTTTTCTTTTTCCAAAAATGGCTGCTCTGATCGTCCAATTTGTTGGTGGGTGTCATCAATCCTTGTAAACATTCTCATTATATATCGAATTGACTATGGTCGGTCCTACACTGAAACATTTTCACCAAAAAAAAAAGAAAATGGCGGATTTTTGAATTTTTCCACCCTTTGTTGCACTTATAATTGTTAATAACTTTTTTAAATAACAAGGAAATGTAAGCCGTTTGGCTCATCTTCATAAGTGCAATACTTTCGAAATATGAGTGACACCCAGTTAAAAAACGTCATTTCGAGAAAAGTCCATAGTAAACAGCTGCCATTACCCGGTCCACGAATCATCCGAAAGCAAAAAATAAAATAGTTTCATATTCTGTATCGAATTGCCTATGTTCGGTACTACAATGAAACATTTTCACCGAAAAAAAAAACAAAATGGCGGATTTTTTTAATTGTTCGACCCCTTGTTGCACTTTTAATTGTTTATAACTTTTTTAAATAACAATGAAATGTAAGCCGTTTGGCTCATCTTCATAAGTGCAATAGTTTCGAAATATGAGTGACACCCAGTTGAAAAAACATGATTTCGAGAAAAGTCCATTAAAGTAAACAGCTGCCATTACCCGGTCCGCTTGAGTGGCAAGATTAACTACTTGGAGCGATCCGCTCTTATATCTTCTCTACTTACTTCAATGTCATGCGGGTCTTCTGGGATTATTCTATACTATTCCCTAAGAGAACTTTATAGCAATTTTTGAAAAAAAATTTTGGTTTTTTGAAAATTGTTTGGAGAAACCTGGCCTTACCCTATTTTTTTATTACCTAATGCACTCTTTGGATATGCGGCGATAATTCTTTGGAAACAGGAAAACTGAGAATAAACACCTTTTGTAAAATAGGACTTACATTTTATTATATCCTGCAAAGTGTCCGATTGTAATTTTTAAAAACTTTATATTTGTATATAGGTTAGGATTAATCAAAAAAGGCTGTGTAATGATGTGTTTAATGTAGTTTTATAGAAAAAAGGGATATTTTTTAAATATGCTTATGAAATTTCGTAATATATACGAGATTGTACTTCCTAGTATGTTTAGTGTCAATGATCTATGAGTCTAGTGTTTTATACCTACGCATACTCGCAAAAATAAATTGGAATAATATATGGGTGAATTGTCAATTGGTCAAGTCAGGCAATTGTAAATAAAAAGAAAACATTGAGATACTTACAAAGAATTGAAAAGCCATGTGCAAGAAAATATACTTTATATTGTAAGTTAAGCGTTACTCTTATGACATTCTTCTGAATAATTTAAGCAAAATATTGGATAGAAATTTAAAAAGCCTTATTTGTGGAAAAATTTGATTCCAGTGACATAACTATATAGCAATTAAAAGTATTTTGTTGCTAAAGAAATATGAAACGATTATTGGTCAATTCCTTACAAATCCATTGCACTTCATCAAATTTTGACGTTGTCATTTTCGCACAGCGTTGCCGTATTATCGAGTTAGTAGAAAATTTAAGGAAGTATGAAATGCAGGAAATGGTTATTATTAATTCACCTATT